TCAGGGACAGTTTTGACCCTGCAGTTTAGTTCCTGACCAGACAAGGTAGTTGTGACAAGTTGCTTTGCTTTTCCTTTTTTTTTTTTTTTTTTTTTTTTTTTGACAGATGTCACTATCTAGTTCAGACTAACCTTGAGCTCACTGTGTAGCTCAGGGATAACACACATTAGCTACCGTTTTATTCAGCGCTTGCTCTGTGGCCTGCATTCTGTGCTCATGATTCCATTTAGTCCAGGCAGCAGCCATTCAGAGTAGAGGACATGTCCTTTTTTCCTCATTTCCTCATTCCATTTCAGGAAACAGAATTGCTAAGTTTATATGGGTTGCCCAGAGTCACGCAGCCAACCAGTGACAGAATTTGCACTGAGCACCTCCAGCCTCAGTTTCTGGCCAACGCTTGGTAGTAGGCACAGGGCTGACAGCCGTAGGGTTGTATGGCAAGCAGGAAGGATGGTCTGTGTCTCACAGAGTGCTGTTCACGGGAATTGGAGGCTGGAGCACAGCAGAGGAACATGGTTTCCTGAATCTGGTGACGTTCTCACTGTAAATGGAGTGACCTTAAGGTGACAGGTGCAGATTTTCCACCATGCAATCAAAGAAACATTGTATAGTGGTTCAGTTGTGCCTCCCATTTTCAATGGCAATTTTGCTCTCAAGAGATATTAGCAGCAGGGACCTACCCCCAGGCAAACCACAGTACACTGTACAGCAAGGAGGTGCATCAAAATGCAGCTGTGTAACAGCCAGCCTAGCTCCTTGCCAGTGGGCCTGCATGCTTTGGCCCAGTTTCTCTTCCCCCTGCCATGGAGGGGAGGCCTCTGATACGCCTTATGTTTAGCTGTCCCCCAAATGCTCATGGGGTCATAGGTGGGCTTTTTCCAAGGCAGCTGAACCTAAAATGTGATTGATTCGTGGTACAATGCTAGGATTAAGGGTGTGTGATTACTAAATTGGTCTGTTGATTGGCTTAGCACCATCCTAATCCCAATAGTCTAGATAAGATAAAAAGGCCAGAAGGATGCTGTTAAGGCCCTTTGTTGCTTTTGCTGTCTGCCACAGCCATGTTGCCCCTCTGTAATGTGCCAGCAAAACTCTACAAACTGTGAACCAAATAAACCCTTTCTCCTTTTACTTTAGGCATGAGATATTTTGTCCTAGCAATGAGAAAAGTAACTAAGATAGACAGAATTTGGTACCAAAGAAGTGAAGTCATTGCTATAATTATACCTGACCATCTGGTTCAGGAGACTCTGGGAGTGGCTTGTGGGAAGAATTTGGAAAGGTTCAGAGATGCCCCCTGAAAAAGTAGAGCCACAGTGCCTGAGGCTGTACTGGACGAGACATTCTGGTGAGAGCTCCAAAGACCAGAAGTCTGATAGAAACCCTTCTATAAAGACCAGCCTTGGGAGGTTTCTGCTAGGAAGATCTGTAATGGCTGTTGGAACCCAGAAAATGTGTATTAAACCTAGGGCAGCCAGCTAGTTAGTCCTTCAGAAGAAATTTCAAGACAGTCTAATGTTGAGGCAGTGGCATGATTGTGTTTGGGGACTTTTAGCCTGATCTATTTTGAGAATCCAGTGCAACAAATCAAGCAGGATGATTTAAAATGTTTTGAGCTTTGGGGCCGGGGAGATGGCTCAGTGGAATAAGAGCTTCCCTGGCAAGCGCAAGGACCTGAGTTCAATCCCCAGTTCCACCAAAAAAAAAAAAAAAGTTTTGAGTTTGGCTAAAAGGAAGCTCCCATAGAACTTTGAAATGGAAAGGCAGCAGAGGGGATCTTGATCGCTGAGAAACAACAGAGAATAGAAGAGATGGCCTGGGAGTTATCACAAGAAGCAGCAGAACTCTACCTGTAGCAACCTCAGAATTGCAAAAGTAAAACCACTTTGCTTTGAGAAGAAAGACCCAGAGCACCATGTTCCACATAGTGGCAGCCTAGAGAATTTGTTCCTCAGAATTGGATTTAGAGTGCTCAGCAGTCCAGGCACTAGACACCTACAGTTATAAGAGAGGGAAGCCTAGCCACTGCTCCAGCCAGCAGCGGGCCTTGGCACCATCCATGTAGCACCAGTTTTAGTCCCACTCGGTATGGAAGAGTTGTGGGGTCAGGAAGGCTTTCACCATGATTTCAGAAGAGGGCCTCGCAGGCCAGGCAGTGCGCCCCTGGCAGGGCAGCGTGTGAAGCTGTGCAGGTGAAGCCAAAGGTACAGAGGAGACCCCAGAAGTTTGGGGAAGCCAGGAACATGGATCATCTAAGGAACACTGCAAGGAAGGAGCAGAGCTGGGCCACAAGAAAAGCAATGGGAGCTACAACCCCAGGAAGTACTATAGGGGCAGAACCACCCCTGCCCTTTAGAGTTCACATCTTTTACAGGTTGCCTCAGATGCTGCGTGTGGAACTACAGGACTTAATGTTTGCTATGCTGCATTTTGGACTGACTTTGATCTCTTTCCTTTGTATCCCCCTTATAGGAATGGTAATGGTAATAGGAATTTGGTAATGGTAGGGCTGGGGAGATGGCTCAGTAGAATAAGTGCTTCCCTGGCAATGGTAATTTGCAAAAAGAATGGTAATGTTTATCTTGTGCCGTTGAATGTTGGAAAGGTTTAACTTTCTTTTCATTTGTACAGGGGTTCCTGGCTAAAAGTCTGCCTTAAACTTAGAAGATTTATTTATTCATTATTTTTTTTGGGCAGAACCAGAATTTGAACTCAGGCCCTTGCACTTGCCAGGCAAGCGCTTATTCTACTGAGCCATCTCCCTGGCCCCCAAACTTAGAAGATTTTGATTCTTTGTTTGGGGGGATATACCAGGAATCACACTCAGAACCCTGTTTGCCAGGCAGGCACTGCAACACTGAGCTGATAACTCAGTGTTGCAGTGAAGATTATAGACCTGGACTTTTCAGCAATGCTGAAACTGATACGGTTTTGGCAACTCTTGAAGATGAACTAAATACTTTTTGCATAAAGGACTGTGCATGAGTCTTTGAGGGGCAGATGTTATGGCTTGTTTAGATGTCCCCTCAAAACAAGGTGGCCTCTTTTAGACATGCTTGCATCTAAAGTGTGATTGAGGGGCTGGGGAGATGGCTCAGTTGAATAAGCACTTGCCTGGCAAGCCCAAGGACCTGAGTTCAATCCCTGGTTCTGCAATAAATAAATAAATAAATAAATAAATAAATAAATAGTGTGATTGATTGATGGTACAATGCCAGGATTAAGGGGCCAGGGATATAGCAGTGGCACAGCAACCTCCTGACAAGCACAAGATACTGAGTTTGAGTCCCAATACTAAAACAAAACAAAACAAAACAAAAAAACCTAGGATTGGGGCCAAGGAGATGGCTCAATGGAATAAGCGCTTTCCTGGCAAGCTCAAGGGCCTGAGTTCGATCCCTGGTTCCACCAAAA